CCACCCTCTCTCGCCATATCGCTCTTCCTCCCGCTCGCGCACACCGCCACCCTTTTCGCCTACCCCCTCGTTTCCCGCCCCCATTCCGGCTGCTTTCCTTTCGCGACCTTTCGCCAGCCGTAGAGCCTGGACTATATTCACGACGATGATGCGCTCTCTCGCCGCGATTTTCCCCGGCTTCTTGCCTCCGCTCGCGGTAATTAACGCGACGATCCCTTGCCACCAGAACAGTGAGAGATGGAGAGAGAGAGAGAGAGAGGACCGGCGGAAGGAGGGCGGTTGATTTTCCGAGGGGAACGCACGCTCGCAGAGGCCATTGCTGGCGAGGGCGTAATTCCGTTAAGTGTCTTCGTAAACTTCGTTAGCTACATTTCCCGACATTACCCACCCTACCGCGCATCCACGTGACCTGTGAGCGAGACCACGCACGGTCCTTGCGTGTGTTCCAGGGACACGGAGGTGCGAACTAATGTTCTTGCCATTTTTATCTTTTTTAGTAGCATTCTTTGATTTCTTTGATTTGTTTTTCCCTTTCAAGACGATGGTTAATGTTTTCGTATTAGCGATGGGGTTAGAATATAGGAGACTCTAAACAAGGTCTTTGTCATTGCTAAATAGGATAGTATGTGTCCAGGTTGCTGGTGAGAGAGCATAACTTTGCCAAAGATGTTTCAAGGGTGTTTCGGAGGCTGGTTTCAATCGGGATATATCGATTCCCGGGAGTAAATTCTGATAGGAGTCTCATAGGCGTAATTGATTGTAATTGGCGATGGACGTCACGAGGGCTGCATCTGATAATGCATTGGATCTTCACGGGAATTACTGTGTTCATAAGTAATGTAGCAGAACGTTTGAACAGGGAACTTTCGATCAAAAGATTCGTTGTAATGGAAATATGATACGAAAATTATTAACTTTCGTTAATACATAAGATTGTCTATATACTATACATTAATAAATGCCAAAAGTGTATCAAGGTTTACACAGATCAGCGATAATGCTTCAGATGATTTTATAAGAGCAGTACTTTGGATGTTCGATTTATTGTTGCTGTTATGATTAACGATTATCGTTGTCGTTGTTATCGTCGCCGAAATGAAACAACAATCGCATCCGCTGCATTAATACGCGTTACATATTATCCGTGATATTAATATCACCGCTATTATCCACGGCACAAGTTTTCGGAGAGTGCGTCCTGGATTGTTTGATAATCTAATTTAACGATACAACAATTATTTAATAACGTCTGTATATTCGTTCGACGAAATTGCCAGTCCCCGTTATTTAGGAAACTCGTGCACATTTTGGTCACTTTAACTCTTAGCACTCCAGATGGTTTTGTAATTTATCAGCAACTGCAACTAATTTTTATGGTATCTCTAGTGAAAATGAAAAATACTATAACATTCCTTCGATCTTTTAGTTTCCTTCTCAGTACAAAATTTGGATGTGTGGAAAATCTAATAATTTTAAGGTAGTTTCTTTGATTCATTAAAATATTTAATATTATAACTGGTGCGATATTGGAGCCTACAGAGTTCAAAGGGTTAATATGTTAATACCTTAGAGCTAATGTCGTTTGAACTTTCGAATTAGTAAGGTCTTTAAAAAGAAGAAGCAACGAATATTCCTCGTTTTACTGGGTCGTACTATTACATTTTCTGTGCAAATTCGAATACATTCACTATTGATTAACATTCCTCAATTGCAACGTTAAAGCACATCTAATACTATCACGTATACAAAGTACGACTCACTTTTAATTCTTCGTATCCATATCATTAAACGATAATTCTTTTTCTGGTGTGTTTGAAATCATCGCGTGAAACGTACAGAAAATTAAGAGAAGCTCAATGCAAACTATTCCCAAAGTGCATCGGTAAACAAACAGTTCGGAAACAAGTTCCGCGCGCGTGTATCGTTCCTGCTTCACGAAATAATCGATGGCGGACGAAGAATTTTCCCTTTTAAAGGGGGCCCCGTCGAGGCTCGAAAGCAGATGTTGCGAAATCGCGCTCCTTTCCTATTAAATATAATAACCGCGGAGGGTTTTCATGCTCAAACGGATCGGAATATGTTACGTAATATTCGCTGAGCCGCTATCGGGCCGGCACAATGGAGGCAAAAACCTGGAAGCTCCGAGTAATGCGGCTCTCCCGCATCCGCTCGGAACGAAACGAAATGTTTTCGGGATCGGCTGTTCGGATTTTCTATCGCGGCTCTAATTAATGCAACCGAGAAAATACTTATAAAAGACTCCTAGATTCGTTAAAAATAACGGTGGGCCACCTAACATTCGCGTGTCCAATGAGATCGTAAAAGGAAAATTAAAAAGAAACATTCTCACTCACCTTCCTCCAGTTTCGCGTTTGCCTCCCGCACTTGCGCTGTAACAAATTAAAAATAATTAATTGTTTACTTGAATCATAGAGTAAAATTCATTAAAAAAGAGTAGAAAGAGTTAATACTGAAAATCATTGAAGTTTAAAGTTTTACTTGTATTTGCGTACTAATGACACTTGAAATGTCTGCACTCAACACTCAAACAGATCTCGATCATGCGCTAGCAGAAAGATTAAAATATCTTCTACACGCTCAAATTTAATTATGCACTACTCAATACTTTCATTCATTCATCGACTATTCCTCAATTCTTCCAGAAATACACGGGGGTAGTTTCCACACGAACAAATACTGCAAATGAAAATTACACACACACAACAATCAACCTTCATATTCTTCCAACGGAGCTAAGATCCTCCGTGCATCTAATCGCGATCTCCGAATGCGTCAGTAGAATCCCTTGAACCTCGGAACAAAAGAGTGGAAAAGGCGTGAGGCCCGTTTCTCGAACATTGTGACTTTAGGGTCGCAACGTCAGATTCGGTCCACAGATTAACCTGACCCGAAACTTTATCCCCGATCAAAGAATCTCGCGCGCGTGCTGGTTCCGTTGGCGCCCTGTCCGCAGGATTAAAGACGCACGGACGACCCGCAAGGTGAGGGTGCGCGAGGGACGAAATAAAAAAGGGGGAAAGAAACAGAAGGAAAAGTACGTTTCGGGGGCAGGGTTGAAAGGGTCCGCCACGCTAATGGGCATTATATATTTCGTCTGAGGCCGGCTCTCTCGTTCGGCGGTGTGGGATTATGGGCCTGTCAGCGGGCCTAATAACTGGTCCTTGGTGGGCCCGGTCTCGCATCTGATACGGGAAACCGGGGCCCTTCGACAATGTGCGCATTAAATACTAATCGCAATGCGCGCACGAGCACAAGATCCGCGCGCATTGTGCCGGCGCGCGGGATCATCAAAGGTCCGCCGACCGGGCCGGGAAAAAGCGGGCCCCGGGTGTGCACACAAGGGAACGCGCGCCCGGAACAACCTCGTAAGACTCCTTACGAGACGGGAAGAAGAGAGAGCCTCGTCCACGGAACGAAAACGCCGCGAGGCCCGCCCTCCGCTTCCCTGCGACCCCTTTTGTGCCTCCCCCTTTTGCCGCGGAATCC